TCAGGTTTTGTGTTGATTTCAAAATCCTGACGCTTCCTACAAGGCAAGTTCCTGTCTGAAGTGCCTATCGTCCTATTCCCCACCTCGCAATCCTCAAGATTAGGCCGATGATGGTTGAGTTATAAGCAGACTCTAGTACAGCTAGTCCGCGTCCACCATCTTGTCTCTTGATCTAAAGTCTTTCAAAGTTATTATTATTTACAAACGTATTTTACAATGACAGCTGACAAAGAGAAACTGGAAATTCAGTGAAGAAACTTCTGTTGCCTGTATCCATAGAAGTTGTCTCCCTAACCTCCTCCAGGAATGCCATCCGATCAAACATTGTTGTAGCAGATCCTGTCTTTAAGATCACTCAATTCATCCTGGACTACTTTCCCGATGAGCCGGGTAAAATGGCATATCTCTTTACTTGTCTGTGCTCTGATTTACCTTAATTGTATTTACCTGAGCAGTACCTTTCTCCAAACCCTTCAGACAAGAAGCTAAGCCATAATTCTTGTAAGGCCCTGTCAAGCCCATCCTAAGCCTTGGAGAGCATGTCAACACCAGGCCGAGGAAGACTTGAGTGTTAGCTGAATTGAAGACTGACTGAGACACTATCCTTCTTGTGCTGCGTGAGGTGAAACAGCCTTCTTTTTTTCTGAAGGTCATGCTAAACAGGGGGCAAGCAAAAGAAAAAGAAATGAAAGAAAACTCCAGGCTGAAATAAACTCAAAATATGGGACTTGTAGTCAGTGAGCTCATTAAGCAGCAACCATCCTGAAATACAGTACACTGAATTCCTAACATTCTCATTTTTTAATAATTTCTGAAAACTAATAGTATATTATAAAAAAGTTGAAAAAACTTTGTTTCTCCTGTAAAGGTTAAACAATCTGTCATATGTTTCTTCAGTGTTTCTTCCTAGTTTGCTGCAATCTGTAGTCCTTTTGCTTGACTGGTGAGGTGAACTAAAAAGACCTTAAGGGTTTGAAAACTTAATTGTTTTCCATTTCTGTGCCATATGTTCCTCTTGGGCTCTCTTTGCTTTGAGTTTGATAAAGGCCCTATTTCTATTTCCTCACATGGAGCCCAGTTGTACTGGATGTTGGATTCATAACTTCAATTTCTATTTAGAAAATAAATTCCAACACAGTAGGAGTACTAGAATTTTTTGAAATACTAGTTTCTTTTCCAAAAATAATAAAAGTGAGTGAGAATGTAAACATTTGGCTAAATAGATGACAAAAGTCCATATCTTAAAATTCAGATTTTTAATTTCTGCTGCACCACACAGAATTGGTTGAATTAGTCAGATCTCCCTAGGGACTTTTTGTGCAATCTACAAGCGGCAGAGCTATGGGGAGCTTTTCAGTCCAGAGAAGGAGAGATAGCTGGTAAATTTAGATCAAACCTATGAGGAATGGTGTGCACATCTTACAGGTGTTGCATCTCCAAAAATATCCGTGTTGGACTCCTTCGAGACCTTACTGGAGACAGATCTAGGCTCTGACAGCCTGGAAAAAATGGGAGGTCTCAGGATTGCCAAGGCACCTAGGAGCCTACTATACCCAGTAAAAGGGAGGCTGTGACAGTGAGGGACTTAATTATTCAAAGTGTAGACAGTGTTGAATGTACGAATGGCATTATACACACATACAGTACTGTTTGTTGCCCACATGCCCAACATTAAGTGTTAGACCTATGTGAGCGGATGGACAGGCTCTTAATTGGAATCTGAGTGCATGCAGTTGTCATTGTCCAACTGAATTAATTAAGAAAGAAAATGTACTGTAGTTTGACAATTCTGCATAACAAATTTAAGGGCTTTGCTTAAACCTAAACGTAAGCTGAAAGTCCTATGGTGAATTCTAGAGGTGAAATATGGAACTTTAACAAATAGCTAAGATGTTTTCATTTTATGGAGGTTGTTCTGGAAAATAGAGGTACCTGTATTAATGTGACAGGATGCATTTGAATCAGAGCAGAGTGGCATCATACAGTATGTGAAACATATGCATATACTGTAGTACTTGAGAGGAATTTAATATACAGTAAGGAACCAAGGGCAACGAGTCTACGGACGTGGGCACAAGTTGTTTACTATGCAATGCAACAACAATACAGTAGGTAGAAAAGTTGAGGTGTTATTTCTACATATAAATGGAGATATTGCGATGGGGAATATATAAGATGAAATCGATATGATTAAAATGACAATAGTGTCTTAACCCAAAATATACCACCTTCCAGATATATGTACCAGTTTCGTAACACAAAATATACCAGACAATTTTATTGACTATTGTTCTTTGGAAAACAAGGGTACAGATGTAACAGAACTGGAGGAGGATTGTGATAATAAAAGTAAAAAAATGTATGCATACATTTTATATTTCCATTGATTCTTAAATCAGGGTCTGTAGTTTTAAAAAACACAGAATATGAAGGAATGAGAGAGAACTTACAAATAATGAACATACAGTACAGATAAGATTTGAGTAGGAAAAGGAATTACAAACAAATTAATCACAAACAAAATCCAAATAATGGAAAATATGGCCCAAGTGGTTTAATTGAGAAATTAAGAATAATATGATAAGGAGAAGAATGCTCTACAGACTATATAAGGTCCAAAGTAGAGAAAGAGCATACTGAGCTACAGGCACAGCTGAACAGAGATATTAGACTTGCTGAGAGGGAGAGAAATGAATATTGCTGTAGAGGCAAAACAATAATGGAAGGCTTTTTTTCAGTGTTGCATCAATAAAAGAAAACTGTAAAAGTTTAAATAAATTGCTTTGGAGATAATAGGGCACTAGCAAGAGATGAAAAAGAAAAAATAAACATATTTTCAAAAATATTGCGTGCAGGGTTTTACAACAGAAGATATCAATAACATGCCCCGATGCTGCATAATGATTTTCAAAACTATTGGGTGATTTTAGTATAAGTAACAAAGAGTAACAAAGAGAATGTGCAGAGGTCGGGATGACTTGAAACCAATATTTGACTGGGACACTATGGCACTTTTGCTGTTGTGTTAGAAGGGGAAATGTGGTGCATAGCAAAAATCAAATATACTGTAAGCTATACCAAACTGCAGTTCAGAAAATATGATGTCACTGCATACTCGAGGACCTCTCCATAGTTTAACATTCCATTCATTGATTATCTGAAAACTGTTTTTTTCCTGGCAAGTTTTGCTGAAAACCAGAGCCTACCCCAGAAACATAAGGCTAAATCTGGCCAGCAGTCTGGAAAAGATGCCAGTCCCTCACAAGGCAAACACATAGGGACAATCTTGTGAAGCCAACTAGCCTAGATGTCATCTCTTTAGGAGATGGCTGTAAACTGATATACTGAGAGACAACTCTTGTGGGCGTTGAAAAAACATGCAATCTTCACACAGAATGTGGTCTATATTGGAAAGCCATGCACTTGAGGACTTGAAGCACGGTACAGCTGTTCTGCCAATCTAAAAAAATCATCAAAAAAGATGCTTACTATGAGTAAGAGGAGAAGAATTGTATTTTCTGATGCATTCTGATACTGTACATCATTCCCATTTAAACATGCATACTGTATACTGTACCTGTACACAATATACTGTACTGTATGTGGATAAATACTAGTTGAGGACTGAAAGCATCAGGATAAAACTGGTCTCATAAATCAATAGATGAAAACGTATGACATTCAGAATTGTGGTCCATTTCACCTGTAGGAACAGTAATACATAACATGGCTTGAGTATTTAAAACCAGTTCTGCAACAAAATGGATAACAAAGCTCTTTGTAGCAAGTTCCAGAACTGCAGAGGTGTTAACACTACTTTCCCTTTCAGATAAACTCTGTAAAGGACCAGAACTTCAATGAGACACTTATGAGATATGATTTAAGAAATTACAGAAAAAAAGGTAAGATTATCTGTTTGCATTTCTTTATCCTCTATTGTGAGCATCTAACCCAAATTTAATTTCACTGCAGCGTTCTTCACTATACATGTTGTTTTGTGCTCTTCTTAACCACGGGCGATTTCACTTCTGTACTGTAGTTTTATCTGGAGGTGTCAAGTTATCAAAGTTTCAAGGACGAGTCTGAGTTTAAGCGAACTATCCAATTTTGCAGTCAATACTAGGAAGCAAGGAAACAAACAACCAGCAACACCATTAACAAAAAATATGAAGCTGATTGGTTATACAACTCTTTTCACAAATTGAATTAAGATTCCAATGCTTAAATTCAAAACAAGATACATTCATTGATTTCAAATATTACGTTTGAAAGATAACCTAATATATTATGAAGGTTTAATTGCTTGCAAACCCTAATTAAGTATATTGATTGGTCACTAATAAATAATGCTACAGTAAAATGTGCTTTTATCTTCTAGTGTAATTCAAATGCATAAAGTGTAATATCCACCTAATTGGTGTTGACTAAGGGATTAACTACATGGTGACAACTATGTCTTGTAAAAACTAATCCTTTATAAACCATATGATTTATTTCCCTGTGAGTGTTTTGATCTACGTTCTAATAGAAAATGGTTCATAATCACACCCGCATCGCGCTACATACCGGTTTATACTCCAGTGTTGCAAGAGTGACCTCAAGTGTACAAACTGAATATCGACCTAAAGCCACAAGCAATCTTTGTACACGAGAGCGAAATTCACTAAATTGCCAAACCGGAGATTTACCCTTAATAAATTCGCTGTTTTTTTTTATTTAGACCATATGTATCCTGTATCTATTATTTTGTTAATAAAGCTCGCTTTATACTATGCTATTACCTGAACCCATCGGTAAACTAATGTACAGAACGTTTATCCCCCACAAAACTCTTAAATAAATTAATCTGGTGATTAACATACTAGTGAAATATTTTGTCTAATAACGCTCTTAGATTTACACACGCAAAAGGCAATCCTGCTGTTTTCTTGAGAGTCCTGTTTCTATCTCGGGGGCGGGGCACCATCCAGTTGTTAGTTTTAATGTGAACAGCACGTGGATAATGCAAAGCTGGCAGGACTCTGTGGAGAAGGATGCACAGCTTGAGGGTAGCGGTGGAAGCAAGATCTATCTGCTGAAATAGAGAAAACACTGGAGAAAATGTGGATTTAAAGAAGCCTGATCAACCAACTGAATGAAACAAACATTAAAGAGGATGCATTTACCGAAGGTTATGTTTCTTTTTATATGAATTAAGTTAGATCTCTCTGATGGAGAAAAGAGAGATACTCCTCAAAAATGTAATTTCCCAATAATAAGCAGAAATTAAAAAAAGAAAGAACGTACTGGAACTATATGAAAGCCAGTGATTACCTGCAATGACAAATTGCAAGGCGTATTCGAAACGGAGTGTTACAATGATGTTTCCCGAATAAAAGAATCACACAATTTTGGTTGAAAGGGGAAGAAAGACAGAAAAAAGTTGAAACAAGATGGATTTATTCAATTCCAGCGGGATCAACGTGTCTCATGTAGTCTCAACAAATTTCTCATCCATGGAGAGTCAGTATTCCCTGGCAGCTGTGGCGGGTCTTGCAGCGCTTGTAAGCTTTCTCATTGTATTTACTATTGTAGGGAACGTCTTGGTGGTAATTGCTATATTAACAAGCAGAGCACTAAGAGCGCCACAGAACCTTTTCTTGGTGTCTTTAGCCAGTGCAGACATCTTGGTTGCCACCCTTGTCATGCCGTTTTCTCTGGCAAATGAACTTATGGGATACTGGTTTTTCGGGAGAGCTTGGTGCGACGTTTATTTGGCCTTAGATGTCTTGTTTTGCACTTCGTCGATAGTCCACCTGTGCGCTATCAGTTTAGACAGATACTGGTCAGTAACACAAGCCGTAGAATACAACCTCAAAAGGACTCCCAAAAGGGTGAAATGTATTATAGTAGTTGTTTGGCTCATCTCTGCTGTGATATCTTTCCCACCGCTAATTTCTATGGACAGAAATACGGAGAAAGACAATCATCCGCAGTGTGTGCTTAACGATGAGACGTGGTACATTCTCTCCTCTTGCATAGGATCTTTTTTTGCCCCTTGTATTATAATGATATTAGTGTACATTAGAATATATCAAGTGGCCAAAACCCGAACGAGAAATATGTCGGAAAAAAAACACGGGACAGATGGATCTTCTCAAACTGAGAATGGACTAAGCAGAGGCACCTCTTTAAAAGCAAACGGTGAGAAGGAAAACGGGCACTGCCCAGCAATGCCCAATGAACAAAAAACACGGGAAGAAGATGATATAGACCTGGAGGAAAGCAGCACATCAGATGGCAAAGGGAGAAAAGGTCCAGACTCTGTCTCCAAGAAAGAGAGGAGGAGTAGCAGGAAAAACAGTTCGTTGTCCAAACACTCCAGCCGCATGTCGAGATCTAGCAACAAATCTATAGAATTGTTCTCCTCCAGGCGAAAAAGAAGAAGCACAGCATCTAGAAAGAAAATTTCACAAGCCAGAGAAAAGAGATTCACATTTGTTCTTGCGGTTGTCATGGGTGTTTTTGTGGTCTGTTGGTTCCCATTCTTCTTTAGTTACAGCTTGTATGGGGTTTGCAGGGAGTCCTGTGAGATTAATGAGACATTATTTAAATTTTTCTTTTGGATTGGGTATTGCAACAGCTCTCTAAACCCTGTAATTTATACTATCTTCAACCAAGATTTTCGAAGAGCTTTCCAAAAGATTCTTTGCAAGAAATGGAAAAAATCATTTTAAACTGTTTAAAAACTCCTGCCATCTGTCAACTGTGTATGCTGCTTAAAAATATCACAGTAAATTCTGATTATTTTTGGCCTTGACAATCTACATATTAAGAAAGATGTTTAAACAAATCAGATTTTATATTTTTTAAATACTGTACATCAATGTGAATGGTTAACCCTGCTGTCCTTACTTTAAATCAAACAAACAGAAATGATTTGCTATTAAATGAAACAATCTCTTATACAAATGAATTTCTGAAGGTAATGCTAAATGCCTAAGGGAGCCTTTATATTTCAGATTTTATGCAATGCACATTTGTCTTTGCTCACAGTAGTTCTAAGCATATTCATGTAAGGAGCTTTTGTTCTGTAGTATTAGAAGCCTGGTTTTACATTATTACTAGACTGGTCATGGCTTATAACATCAGCTGTTTAAAAGGCCATTGTGAAAAAAAAAATAGCCAAATAAATGTATGTGTAATTTTGCAAAGGGTAAAGCCTGTTCAGTGATCTCAGGAGATTACAGGTCTCTAGTGCAGAAATGTAACAAAAGGCTGAGATTTAACTGTTTTACTATACAAAGATGTTATTTATTTATTGAAGCTTATTGCGGTTTTACTATTTTGATTGAAAGTGCCATTGAATAAATATTTAAAACTACTTTATGGAAGCATTTTCATTTTTAGGCAATGCTGATTGCCATCCATTTTTTTCATGTTAATAAGCTGTATTGTGGTTGATATTACAGTACGTTTAAAAGACCTTTTATCTAGCAATTTTTAGAATAACATTTAATTTCTTTTAGTGGAGATTTTGAAAAAGGATTTCAGTATACTTGTGTAATATTCTGAACAAACTAGAGAACAACATCATGACAGAATCACTCTTTCTTCCAACACAAGCACACACAAAAGACTACTGTTTGTTGGAGCTCTCTCTCTTTTCACTGCACTGAGAGCCATAGTATTTCATAATAAAATTGTATTATGTCATTTTAAGTCACACTGACTTAGCTTCCTAGATCCCCGCTTATGCACAGCAGAGACAGAGGAAGACAAACATAAGGGGCTCTTTTTATGCCTCCAAAACAAATATTGATCTTTGTAAATTTGCAGTTGATAAGTGAAGTATAATACAGGGACTAGATGATAATAATTAGAATGAGTTACTTCAAAGCCCTGTAACACATCTGAAGTGTACAATTCTGGAAATGACCTCACTTATTGAACAGAATAAACTACTGTGATAAAAAGGAATTTTTATCAATTTGTCCAGGTTGAACTAATTCTGCTACTACTCACTTTCAGTTTCTTTGAGTATGTTTTATTCCTTATGCTTTCAAATATACACTGGGCTCCATGAAGCCATTAGTTCAGATTTTGAATCATGTTGTTTGAGCTTCATTATTACATTCCTACAAGATAGTTTTCTAAAATCCAAATATGTGTTATTAAACTGTGTTATTGTAAACGAATTCCTTCAAAAGCCAAAGAAGTTCATTCCCCACAGGATTTTAATGGTATATACTGTATCAGCTGATCTTGTTTCTGGTTTCTAGGTTAATAAGTAAATATTTAAAATCCTTCAACAGCTTTTAAAATGTTTAGGATGGTCATATCGATCAGTTTAGTGAAATATGTCTTTTTTAGGTCCACCCTGTCTAAGGGGATAAACAACTTTTTCCTTTCATTGCCCTTGTTTTTGGATATTCCCATTAGAATATGAGTCATACTGTACATCAATTGCAAGTAATCAGAGTAATTTGGCATTTCAGTTTACATGCTATAGCATGGAGAGAGATGCTGTTAACTGTAATTACAATTTGGTAACAGTCTGCTACGAGATAAATTGTGTTAAAATCTGTTGCACTATCATGCAACATGAGGCCACCCTTAAGGCCAGGCTACATTGGATGATTCTAACACAGCAAATCCCATGCAACAGAATTGTGCTGCACCGTACCCCATCCATCAGGAGCAATAGTAACCCCATCAAGGAAAAACAGTAAGCAACAGAGTGCAATACAATTGAGTTCCATTGTGCCAGAAGAGATGCTGGCAGTGAAGGGAAAGATAAATGAGAACATGGTATAAATAGATTTTTCTATTATTTTCAGAGTCAATAACATGATGGTTACTATTACAAATGATTACTGCTTAATGCTTTTTCTAATAATAATAAACTACCCAATCAGCAGCGACAAGTTCTAAATGTACTGTATGTAATAAAGAAAGCCTCAACTTTTATTTAGTTTGCATGCACGGTTATTTTGTCCATAAATACAATGTAAATCAATGCAATTTGTATTTTGTACCAGGAGCTAGTGTATCCAAGCTCCTCTCCTCAAACAAGCTTGGATTCTTAGCTTTCTCCTGTCCTTTCAAATCAATATTTTTTTTTCTTACAAACCACTGAGAGCAAGGGTATGTTATAAGGACATTGGCTCATTTTTTTAAAGCAATGTATGTAAATATCGTTGCTCAGAAAATTACATCAATACTGCCCACCCCCATCTATTAATAATTATAAAATGCGTCCTATTAAAACACAATAAAGTGCAGGAAAACTCTACTTAAATAGGGAGAGGTGTGGCAAACAATTCAACAATCCAATTGAACCCCAGGAAAAAGGAAAGTAAAGACAACTAAGCATAAGGAAACTCCAGACTCACACTCCTGTTCAACTACGATACAATTCGTAAGTCATGGACATAGAAGTAAAATAATTAGACACAAGAAACTAGATATGGTTTTTAAAAATATTGGTATGTAGGTTACATTAGACCCCCTGTTAGGCATATCCGCCTACGCATGTAGATTTACTTTTGACGCTACACTTTTCATTACCAAAAACAACAATCTTTTAATAATTTCTCAAAATATGGCAAATGCAAACAATCTCCAATATCTTCTAAACATGACTTCTAAGTTTGTTTTCATAGCAGTGAAAATATTTAATAATAAATTAATAGTGTAATGCTGACAACAGCACTTTAAACAGCAACTGCACAACGGGTGATACAGTATGTCTTTTTACCAGAAAAATCAAAACACAACACCACTGACTATATATCTCAGAACACAAGACAACCTAAGCTTTTCAGAACTGTTTTTCCTAACTAGATACATCAGCATAAAGCAAATAAACCACAGGAATATTCTCACAGGAATATTTATCTCGTATTCAATTTAGAGAATTATATAAATAATTTATCAGTTCTCCGGCAAAATGCTAGCATAAAAGCACATTTTTGCAACAATAAATGTTTTCCTTTACCTTGAAAAACGTTTATAGAAACAATACACATTGCAACAAATATTTTCAGCTGAAGCTCCCTATGCATTCAAATTGACCAGCAATAAAAACGTTTATCTAATAGGTTAAAACAGCTGACCATTCAGAGACTTAAACGTTCCTCCCTATAGCATGCATGCATCGTTTTTTTTATTTTACTAAACCTGTTTCTTATGCTTACTATCCTCTATAGGACTGGCAGTAATTAAATACAGCAGTAAAATAGTAAATAATTGTTAATTTAATTATTTTATTATTTTTACATTTTTTGGAAGGCTGACAAAAAGCAGTCCAGGTACTCCCATTTTTTTATATTTGTTGAATCACTTTCAGATTTTTATCCAAGATAGAAGACATTTTATAGAAGACACAGAAAAACGACATTGACATTCTAGGTGTGCCACATCTTGAGAAATTGTCTTTTGAGGAAAGACAATAAAATGCATCTGTATTTTTGTTTCTGTTTTTCCACTGGATATCTCTTTAGAATGTGTGTACTGAGAAAGGTTCAGACAGGATGTCCAAGGGATTATCAGGCCTTTACTACATGAATGTACACTCCAAAATAATTAAAGATATTTAATGGTACATCCATTCCAGTAGAACATTGACCTTGACTTCCATTTGGGGGAGGGGGCGATAATTGAAGTTCTTGACCCCAGTTATCACCTTTGCTACAGTATGTTTAGCAAACTCTTTCACGTTTTCATGTTTTCATGTATGCAACATATCCCAGTGGTATACAGTATGTTGAGGTTATGATGTTTCTTGTACAACTGATGACAATAATCTCTAAAAATACTTTAGGCTACGCTACTTACCACTACATGATTTTGCAAAATACATTGTGTATGGCTAAATATGTATTATTAGCAACAAATGTCTCATTCTGTATAAATTTCAGTTTACACTTTACAGCTAGCTGCAGTCACTTTTACAGTGCATCATGATTTGATCTAAAGCAGAAACTTTAAAACCGCACACAATTAACATCTCTCTGGAATGTAATGCTGTTTTTGTTTCATCAAATGTTTTATTGGCAATTATCAGCTGGATTGGTTTTACAGTTACAGACATTTCTTCAGTCGTTAATGTTATTGATTGACTGATAAATGTTTTGATTTAGCTTTCAGGATGTTTTTTTAATTGAGTTCAGGGTTTGTGAATGTACAGATTCATAGTGGTACATTTAAAAGCGTTTGTTAGCTAAAGGGTGCCATACAGTGTTATGGTTACAGCATTCATTTACTGTGAGTCAGATGATTCAAATGTACCTACTAAGGAGAAGCTTTTTAAATACAATTATAATCTCATTACAAAGATTAAAGCATCAGATGTTAAAAACTTGTACTGTATATAGGTGTTTCATTGTTTTTGAGGTTACGCTATGCATTGCAGTCAAAGGTTTTCATTTTCATACAAGTAGTTAGTATCAGGGCTGCACAGTGGTGCAGTGGTTAACATTGCTGCCTTGTAGTGCCGGGGCTATAGGTTCAGTTCTGGACCTGGCATGGTATCTGTGTGGAGTTTAGATGTTCTCTCCATACTGTATATGCATGGGTTTCCTCCAGCAGCTATGGTATCTTCCCACAGTCCAAAGACAAACTGGTAAGCTAACTGATTTCTGGGAAAATTGTCTTTGGTGCAAATGTGTGTGCGTCTGTGTTGGATGGAGTGGTTAAAAAACATGAAAGGATGTTTAGAATAATAGCTCTACATAAATACATCTCTATTCTTCTTCAGGAAAATGGGAGATGGAGTATATAAAGAGTGAAGTATGACCCACCAAAGTAAAGGCTGGAGTTTATGCATGACAGTGTCAGGTAGCGGACATTCTATAATAGCAGCATTGCCTTCTTCCACCTTGAAATGTTGGGCATTGTTTCATTGTTTCATTGCTTTAGCAACTTAAATGGTTTAATGGTGTTCAAGAATGTGTCGACATGTCTGTTAAAGGCACCATTTACAATGTTTTTTTACCTATTCAGATTATACTGTATATTAGAAATCATTTTACATACAGTAGATCACTCTGTAATTCCAATTAAAATACCATATACTGTAAATAATTAATTTAGTGACCTTAGTCTGTTAAAAAGATTGACGTGTTTTCAAGAATAATTTAATGGTATTTTATGAAGGTCTATTTTGTCATGGTGTGTTGGTGTGATCATACTGTAATAAGCACTGATATGAACCCAAACCTAAATCACGTATGAGCAGAGGAAAACTGCGCGCATCAACTGATCACATTGATCATTAAAAAAGGAGATGAGAAACCACCTTGGGTAGCTCCAAGTATTATTTTTCTGAAGAAAGCTGCTGCCTCCTTTAAAACTGAAATGCTATTCCATTCTGTGGTAATT